ACTTGAGGTGCCCGGCTCTTTGTATCGCACATTAAGATGATGTACAGCCATCCGAAAGTCCCTGGTCATTTTGGCAAAAATTGCAGGTGCTGACTCACTCAGGACTACGCTCGCAAAGGCAAGGCTTGCCCGTCAAAGCCATGGGGCTGGTTGCCGAACGGAAGAGTTCTTGGCAGCTGCGGCAGCGGCGGATGGCTTCCGCACCTAGCATTCAGCACACGTCCTTGAACTCCAGCCTCCGAGGCTCCGCACCTGTCGCGATGGCGGGGAACCGCATCGCCTCGGTGTGACGGGAGAGGGTCAGTTTACCATCATACCATATCATAGAAGTACCCCATCATAACATGATTCGAACTTCAATCTCAGCGTCTCCCTTCCCAGTAGCTTCGGTGAGCTCCTGGACGCCGTGTCGCGATGCTCACGCGGCATCTCCCTCAGTCGTAGCGAACTACCCGATGTGCAAAGGATCTCAGCTGCAGCGGCTGACGCCAGCTACAGTATGCTTTGGAGAGGGTCTGAAGATTCGAGCAGAAGCTCACAGCCCACTGCATTGATCAAGCCACGTCTTCTTCGATAGCCGCCCTCGAGCCTCTAAGATGCGGCGCATGATCGGAATCCTTGTTGCAAGCACTTGCAGGGCAGGGCCCATGAAAGGCTATGCCCATGCAGGAAGCTGTGACTGTCCTTGAGATGGATCCACAGGAAGTCACAGCATGCGTTGCAAAGCTCCGTGCACAGACACATGCGCTGCTATCCGAAGCATCTCCATTTGCATTAACACTGAGGTATACCCTGATGACGCATCAAATCAGTACAAGTCCTGGTCGGAACATGAAGATCTTGAAAGCACCGTCGCCTCATCGCACAGTATTGTGCACAGGACAAAACTTCCGACGGAAAACCCGCACTAAGCAGGTCACTTGATGCAAATCCTTTTTGCGAGATACAGCAGCGGAAGAACCACCAGCTGCTGAACAAGTCATCGCTAAGGGCACCCTACCCCATCAGCAACGCCGATGACGCAATTCCGGCAACAGCTGCCGCAGCTCAAGAACAGCAACTACAACAGCAACTACAACAGCAACAGCAACAGCAACAGCAACAGCAACAGCACCAGCGGCAGCAGCTCTAGCCAATATCGGAGCCGCCCAGCCCGAAACGGCAAACACCACAAGGAAGTTCCATGCGACGGCAGCACCTCTAACGCAATGACATGCTCCTGGAAATGTAATGTAAACTTGCCCGACATTTCAGCGTCAAACATGTCCGAAACATCCCTGGAGACGTACAAATAGCAATCGTACAGCTACTTGTGGGTGCAAGAGGAGGTACTGCGTGGCCGCTTTTGTTTCCCGCCATCCCATATCCAGCCTGCGGCTTACTGATTGGAGCTTCCCAGATACTCCCAGCCAGACGCAACTTCTGCCAGCACGTGGCATCGTCGGCAGAGGCATCTGGCTGAAGTACTTCCGCCCAAGGAATCCAGGCCCCCACAGGGGCCAGTTGAGAGCAGCCCATAGCGGAAGGGCTACTGCTACTACTATTAGTACTGTTACTGATACGGCTACTGCTACCACGGCTGCTACTACTACTACTACTACTACTGCTGCCGCTACGACGACTACGACTTCGACAACGACAACGACTACGACTGCGACTACTACTACTACTACTACTACTACTACTACGAACTACTATGGGTCACGCTTCTTACTACTACTCCTAAACCGAGGACGACAACGGCTGCTGCTGCTACTGCGACTGCTACGGCTACGGCTACGGCTACGACGACGACGACGACTACTACTACTACTACTACCACTACTACTACTACTACTACTACTACTACTACTACTACTACTACTGACTGCTACTCACCGGCTACTCCCGAACGAAAGACGACGTCAAAGGCGTTTGCGATGGTACAATACAGATACATGATACATACATTACATTTCCACTTCGCGGCTGTCAAATAAGGAGCATGCAGCTTACTTAGGGCATCCAAATTTGGGAGGCATCGTGCACGCTCACAGTGCAAAAAAAGTCCGTGGTGCGGAAATCTGCCATGAGAGGTGAATCGAACAAGGGTTCACCAGATGCAACCAGCAAACACTTCCAGGGCTACGCCTGGCGGTACTTCGATTGATGGTGTTGTCATGTTGCTGTTGCTTCTGCTCGCTCAGGGGCAAGAGGCCTCAGGGCACAGACACTCCAACAGCAGCTTAGTTGGATACTTCTAGATATCCCCAAACCAAAAGAGACCTGAAGCCGGAAACGAAGCTGAAGGTCAGTGCAGAAGAAGGCACGGCCCGTGGGAGGTAGAAAGGCGCGCAGTTTGCGCACTTGACGATCGTGAAGTATCCGGGTTTGTGTGCCTCCATCGTAGGTCGTAGGCAGATTCACAGTTGGGCAATGTTGCCCCAAGTTTTACCAGATTGACGCTGTTCTGCTACATCTTTCCCTTCTGCGGAATATGAACCTTGCGAAGGACACGGATGACATACGGGAAACTTACGTAGATGGTAATTGTGAGACTCCGACCTCACGAACCGTCTGGATGATGGCAACATGAGCAGTACAATGTGACAGCTTGCCGAGACCGAGTGATCGTACTGCTTAGCTGGGCCTTTCCATCACTGCGGATGAAGAAACGTCGACAACCTAATTCCCTGTGCGCCTTCAAGCCCAAGCTTTGAAGTGTTGAACAAACTCCGGTTCTCCAAGCTGGCGCCTCTCTGCATCCTCAAGGTCCTGCTCATCATCAATGAGGAGGGGCTCGTCATCGATCAGGAGAGGATCCAGCAAGCCCTGCCTCATGTGCAGTGTGCCGGATTGGCCCGCGGCGAGATGCTCCGAAATCCCCGACAGAAGACATCCCACTACGATGTCAACTCCCGAGGCCGAACCCAGGGACCATGTTGTGTAGTAGCAGTAAGTCGTGGTACTCTCGGGTGTGGTGAGGACGAAGCTACCCAAAGTCCCCAGACAACAGCCACTTTTGTCCGAAATCTCAGCCACGTCGTGCCTGCCAGTCCGGAAGCAGCACAGTAGCCGACCAAGGAAAGCCTTCACGATTCATGACAGTGTGTGCTGGCACATTACCTTCATTATATTGCATTCGCTCCGGCTGGATGATCCGACCGGATTACGGGCCTATCTCGCAAGACTTCCAGGCCAATATCTGCCAAAAAGGTGCAAGGAGGGCGCAAAGCGCGACCACGGCAATCAGCAGCAGCACCACGGCCTAGCAAGCTCCAAGAATCGGCGGCATTGTCGAATTTTTTGCTCAGGCCAACTGAAACTTCTTACCATTTGTCAGCGCCAGTGGCGCGCTTGCCACAGATGTTTCAGGGATCTGACATCGCATCATCCAGTGAAAGCGTTCGACGACGGGTTATCCCAGAACTAAGCTGAAGCTGGAATCTTGAGGAGAGAGCATCTTACTGGGTCTTGGGCAACATGGGACGGTTTTGCGCTCTTATGGGGTCCGGCCCGTAATTCGTGAAACCTTGGTTTTGTGGCAGCATAGGTAAATGCCCGCTGACACAGGAATCACAGTAGCTCTTGCTTGCTGTAGTATAGGCGCTCACTGTCATACCAGTAGCCTCCTAGATCTACAAACCTGCCCGTGCCCCAAAAAGATGGGCGGCCTCAAGCAGGACATGATTGACGATCCGCACAGCAGGGCCTGAAGCAGGTACGATCGACTAGCGGGGTTTCGTGTATCATCTTGATGGGCGGACAGGATGGCGCCCGCGGAAAGCTTTGAGGGATTACCAACAGGGTGAGGCAAAACAACATTTGTGGACATGTCAACCAATCGCCATGAACAAGTTCATGCCCAGCTCACGTCTTCACACCGCGACTGTCTGGCCTCTGCTCTTATGGATGTTGGAAGAAACGGCTTTAACAGCCAAGAAACGACATACACTGAACGAGCAGCGTCAAGGGATGAGCGACCCAAACTGACGACAAAATTGTGACCACAGGGCGGGTTACATGCATGTCCATCTTGAAGTGGAGGCACGAGAGACATCAGAATCAGTGCGAGACTACCGCTTAAATTTATTGAACGATGCTTGAATTAGGCATCTCCGGCCTATGCAGCACATACGTGGATGAGACGGAGGGGGGCTGGTATACTGTGTAACGTATAGCTGCATAGTATAGGTGATATATTCGCAAAGTGTCAAGGTTGAAGTCAATTATGTCTACCCGTCTGCGGTTTCTGATATATTCACGACCCAACCACCCCAGCAACAAGAAGTCTGAGGCCGCATGTTGATGCTGCACCTTCATCAGCCGTGGCAGCCTTGGTGGCGTAGCAGTCGAAAAGAAACATGCCAGTCAAACTTGGCTAATGATGACAAGATCGGATGGGCCAAAGGAAAACGACGGGCATCTGCTGTACAAGTCTAAAGTTGGGGGCCTTAAGCTTGGATCTTTCCATCCTGGTGGCAAAACGCTTGGACGGCTAGGAGCCTCAGTTCGGCCCGGGCCCCCAACGAGAACCACGTCTTGCGCCACAGCGCATGCAGCCGAAGCGAGCACCAGGCACAACGACGGAGCCATGGCGGTTCAAGATAATTTCACATCCATCCAAGCAGTTTAAGCTGTGTCTACGGCGACGTGAGCATCTGTCCCTCTCTATGCGATCCTTGTTGGGACCCCTGCCTGCCTGAATAGCCTGCATTGGTTGTAGCAGGATATGTAAAGCATGGTCCCAAAGTCGAGCTAGCAACTCGCAGAGGTGCTGCTGCTGGGCTACGTGTACAGGTACACGGCCACATGTTGCAGGCATGAGAAAAAATGCGGAGTCTAAATTGCCCTTCCCCTGTGGCGAGAATGTCTCGGCCCTGCCCGGTGCAGGAAGCACAGCGGCATACTGGCATATTGTACTGCACAATAAGATATGTGGTATATTCGATTGGTCATTACAGTAATATATTCGTCGTATATGAACCACCCCCCAAATGCCCAGCATCAACGAGCTCGGCCTTAAGAGTACCTTCCGCGATGTAGGGCACCTGACGCTCCAGGAGAAAGTGGCAAACTGCGCATGCTATGGTTGCTGTAAGAGATGAGGGTTTACGCTCTCACAACTCGGACTTGCCAGGCGAGGATGCATAGGTGACTGTCGGCGTGACACGGTGATGAGATACCCCTGCTCAATGATCGAGGGTGTAGGGATTAGGCTGACTACAACGGTTGTTGCAGGGGCTACTGTAAGCGTTGGCGTAGGTTCGTATAAAGACGGCCAGAATTGCATGGCAACGACAGCGTCTAATGTCCCATGCATCCAGCACCCCCGTGCAAACACACCCCTGGACTTAGCAACAGCCCCGCAGTACGCACTACGAGCAGCAGGTGAAACAGAAGCGAGGCTCACACCCTTCACACTTGGACTCTCCCCCGGAGCAAAGCACTGAAAGGTCGGTCCTGAGAGCAGTAGGCGATGACTTTCGGTCGACCTCGAATGTGTCGTGAACTGGACATTACGCCATGTGTCACGATGTTTCCATCCTCAGGGATGGAATATGTCACCGTGCCCTTGGGTCGCTCGAATCCATTGGCTTACACCGGTACAGTTTCCAATTCCTCCTTTTACCTAGCTTCAGAGAGGGGTTCATGCGCGGCCGGGCAGCCCTCTATCGCACCGCCATTTTCTCTCCCCCTACCCGACGGCACTTGCCCAAGCGCCCGGCTGATGAAGGCCTTCACTTCGGTTTCATCCGGCATCAGCTCCCCTAGGATGGCCTCGAACCCGGAAGCCAGCACTTTGTGGGAGCGGCACATCCAGAAAGCTCTCGGAGAAACCCAACCCAACCTTTTTCTCGTCGACAGTACTCAGTAGCCCCAGAAGCCCTATCATCAGCATCTCAGTCGCCCCGCCTGCAGTAGAGCGCTCTTCCCGGAACCCACGCCCCCGACGATGGCCACCAGCTCACCCCCTGCAGACTGCTTCGTTTAGCTGGTTTTGTGACACAACCGACACTGGCAGGTTGAAATCAGTCTCTTCTCCGTGTCAGAGGACATTCAACAGACACTGAATTAGGACGGCCACGAGAAATCTCCAGATTCAGAGATCGTATTGCCGGGGCCACGGAAGGGTCTGAACCTCAGCCACGCGCTGCTACAGCAATCCTGAATTTCCCAGCTGCGCAAGGATGACGAAGCCGCACGGCTTTAGGGTCCCCATCGGTGGCAAACGACATGCAGGCAAAATCGCAGCATACAGCAAGTGCCACGAATCCCATCTTTGCTACTGCAAAGAACGTCGGGCAACCGTGCAGCGGTCTGCCGTATGAAGATTGTGCATGATCCACGCTGTCCGGATGCTACAGAAAAATCGCCAGCCTTTGGCATGCCAGAGCATCCACTCAGCCACACATTCACGTGCGCACATAACTCACTTCGTCTCATCCGAAAACCCTACATACAGTAAGCGCGCCGAACCCCCTGACCGGGCTCGGTGCTCCAGCTGAAGGTGCCCTGAACTTTCAGCGACTCGTCTCGGCCTGGCAGTTTGCAAGTCGGGTGGTCAGGGCATGGCTGAGGGCTGCCAAGCAGCATCGTAATGCTCTGCCTCGAAGCTTGTTGTCATGACGACTCTCCGACCATCGGGGGTTGAAAGCCCCTTGTTCCGAACGCTAGATTTGGGAACACTGTGCAGCATCCTAGAGCAGAGTATGAAGACGCTACAATCGCGACTGTGTGGCACTCAACCATCGGGACCCTAAAGCAAGAGTCCCTAATTTACGATGAAAGATTTCGTAGAACTACCAATCCAAATCAGGCCAGGGAGACGGATGAGGGACCATGACCAAACAAACTCAACAGAACCCTACACACCCAAAACTGAGGCCTCCGGTAGGAGACCAGTGGTGCAGCCAGGCTGGCAACTGACCGTTCTGACAAACTGGAGGCCTGGGCAAAGTGCTGTTTCCGTGCACCAAACCGATGATCCAAAACGGATTTGTTATCATCGTTACAATTATCGTAGTAGCAGTGGTGGTGGTGGTGGTGGTGGTGGTGGTGGTAGTAGTAGTAGTTGTCGTCGTAGTAGTAGTAGTAGTAGTAGTAGTAGTAGTAGTAGCAGCAGGAGGAGTAGTAGTTCGTGTAGTAGTGGGGGCCTGTCTGGCTTGGCTTCGGTCCAGAGTTGGCGAGCCGAAAGAGCCGCATGTGGATACCAACCCTGTGCCTCGCTCTGCGGCTGACTCGGGTTTGCGTTTGCGCTCATTGCGTATCGAGTCGGACAGATGTCGCCAGAGGGCAGTTTTGCTTCGTCGAAGTGTTGTCCGACCAGATGTTGCAAAAGCTGTGCAGCTGAATGCTGTATGTTGCCAGTCTCCTCCATGTACGGCCCGGCATGGGCGAGCTGGCCTTTGTGAATAAGGACCGTGTCCTGCGCCCTTCCTCTTCTGGGGTCTCTGCGTGTGCTCTCCCGTTGTTGTGATGAGGTGGGTGCCCGAAAGGGTGGCCGCCTAGCCGCTGTTTGTAAGTATGTGGCTTGCTCGTGGAGCGGGCAGCCGCGTCTGTCGGCACAGGCAACATCATACACACATGTCATATTGTTGCCGCTTCTCATGGATTCACTGTGTGGGTGTATAGTTCTGCCACTCCTGTGGATCGTGGAGGTTTCCAACGGGCCTGAGGCAGGGGAGAGCAGGACGGTGCCCAAATCCAGAAATCAGGGGCAAGTGAGCCGACCCGGCTTCTTGGGATTAGGTTGATTGCGTTGAGCTTCGTCGGGGTAATAAAAATAACACTACTTGGTCAGTACACATACGAAGTTTCGGGAACCCCGCGATCTGTAAGTATACTGAGTCATACTGCTGAAGAGGCTGTGCACCTCACCCAAGAGATCCTGCAAATCCGCATCGGTCAAGAGAAAATGTACCGCGAAGACCGGCTCCATCAACATAAGAAGAACGGCTCAATACTTCTACATGTAATGACAGCAATGTGCTGCAAGACTACGAGCAACAATAAGAATAAGAACACCAATTGAGCATACTGTACTAAGAAGACATGCGTAATAGTTATTATTATCACTGCCAGGAATCCAGAAGGGTGAACTCAAGTTTTCGTGTGCTGCTTTGCTTGACATTGACGGGACATTTCTACCTTGTTCATGCCTTTTCAAGGCTTGAAACACTCAATGGTAAGCATCTTTACGTGAAGGGCTTGCCATGTTATATCCTAAAGCAGATAACCAAAATTAGGATTTCTGCCACAAAGCGGCAAAACAAGCAACGAGCACACGTTTCGGAAATCAAGGACCGTCGTGTCTGGACGTTTAGTAGTTTGGACTCGTGGACGACCATTCTCCAGCCGAGTTTGGCCTGCCTGCCACATAAGGCCACATGATTTCACCTTCATTCCGGCGAAGGATTTATATCTTCATGGGCGACATGTCCACACAATCCATTGTCCGGCTTTGCTACATCGATTTCTTCTCGGACGATGTGGATGGTGATTCGGATATTTCTGTTGCCGGCATTGGTCTGCGACGTGGATTGTCAGGCGGATTTTGATGTGGCGTGTTTCCAACATCAGTTTATGTGTCGCGCGGGTGTTTGTGTTGGTTTTGCACGGATTTCAGAGAGCTGGTGATCCTCACGAAATCAGCAAGATCCAAAACAACAATCCATTCAGCAATGCATTGTGGTTGGTAGGTTGTTGTTGCGATGCTTCTATCGCAGAGTGTCTTCATGATGTTCGAACAAACCCAAGTCTTCTTCGCGATCGTCATTGTCAGCAGCATGTAGTTCTTTTGGTCAGGCTCCTATGAATAGCTAGGTTAGGATTGGTCTGGCATAGCGCCGCTGGATTGGCTCCATTCACCACCATTGTATTTCTCATGCATTGCACTTTGGAGCAGCAAACTCTTGAGATCGTGTCTTCTGAAGAACCAACATGCATAGTCCACATGCTGCGTTGCAATCATGAATTCAACTTCCCGGGCCACCCACGCTTCTGGCAGCTTGAGAAAAGCCTGGATACGGCTGACGCTCGGCCTCGCTGAAATCGTGTGTCTGTGTGTGTGTGTGTGTGCGAACATTCCCGTCAATGCTGGGTGACAGGGCAGCTGAAGAGATTTCAGATTGAATTGCACGGTTTGTTGATGCATCACGTGGAACTGGAAGCCAAAGCGAACAAGCAACGGCAGTAAATCTGACAGGTTACTCCTTTCTATCCGACAGGGGCATCATCAGCCAGGGTGCGCGATTCCTGCACAACGAGCCAGGCCTCAACGCGCTCTCTGTCGCTGGCTTCGCTCAAAGGCTGCGCAGGCTTGAGAAAGCAGATTCAACGGTGCCAGGTGCCGCGTGCACCTTACGCAAACACCGTCTCAGCGTCGAGCTGGTGGCAAGGATCTCGCAAGATCCGCGAAGACAGGCCCTTGGTCGGAATGGGCGGAAAGCATCAGGAGAAGTCGATACCCACGTCTGGATCCCAAGGCTTTGCAGTTATCCACATTTTACAGAGTTTTGCAGGAGAAGCAAACATGCAAAAGAACACAACCTCAGAGGCAAATTCCTTTCGACCTTTGGATGCTGGGAAAGGTCGCATCTAGTGCTTGCACTTTCTGAGGTCCATTTATCATTTTAAGGCCCCGGCAAAATTTGCAAGCTGGTGAAAATAGTCGCGACCTCTCGTCGAAGCGAGTCATCGGGACACGACTTCTAGGTCTAATTAGGCAAGGGACATCGTGGGCACCGTAGATGGCCGCATAACCCACCAGGCCGGCCCTCGGTGGCGCGTCTTTTCGTCTTAAGCATTCTCAGAGAGCTACAAGCGACAGCCTCACAGCCTCACTGCGCACAGCGACTTCGTCTCGTCAGGCCGAGGCCAAATGAGGAGTCGCGGAAATGCCACGAGCAGCGCCGTGATGCCCTGGCCGCGCCAAGAAGGGCATCGGTGAGAGAGTTCCCAATTGCCGGTTAAAATTCATGGCCCCACCTGAAGAGGGAGGGGGCAACTCCACAGAAAGGCATATGTGACCATATGTGTCTGTGTCCGTGTCTGTGCGTGTATGTGCGCCAATAGGCATTGGTGGCTGCTCTCCACCTGGACTGACTCTCTTCCCACTTGCCCAGGCCCTCTGACTCTGAGCCGGTCACGCATGTATAGTGCCAGTAGGACCTGGCGACAGGCTCAAGCACGGACGGCTCTGGGCCCTCTGGCACTGCGGCCAGTCTTCCATCGTGCTTTTGGCTTATGCAAGGTGAAATGAAATCAGAAGAGGGGAAATAGGACCCCGAACAGATGTTGGAGTCCAGTCCTAGGCACCCCACCTCAGTCCCTCTACCTCCTTGTTCCTGAGGGCAGCGAGCTTCTGCTCCATGGCCACCTGCCAGGGGTCGGGAGCCCCGCGTCAGTGCCAGACGTCCGTGACACTGGATGGGGCAAGGGAATTCGAGAGAGAGAGAGAGTGGGAGAAAGAGGCCTTAGGCCGCCCTGAGGCTGTAAACAAAGAGGAGCTGCACCGCTTCGACTGCCGCTGCCCGCCTCCCAGCCGTAGCACTTCACTACCCGCACCTCGGCACCATGCTCAGATCCAAGCCTTCCCCGTCTCACAAAAACACTTCGGAAGTCTTGGATTTCCGGCAAAAAGCTTATGGCAGCAATCTGCAGCCAGCCTGAGCTGGACAAGGATGGGTCTGGGGAGCCGGCACCAAACAGCACCTCCCGTAGTGTCACCACGCGTCGGTCTGTACCTTTTATAGCTATTGTGCAAAACTGCGCCGGCAAGTCCGACCGGCCACGACGTGCAGTGCTGAGGCCATGACGTTCCTGCAACATCAACATCACCTCCCCAATTCCACCACCCAAGACCACAGCATAACTCACCTCAGCTAGGCAGAATGCTATATCAAGACAGCACGTACAGATACGTACAGCCTTCCGAGGCTAAAGCCATCAAAGCATGCCCCTATGCTTTCTGGCTTCTGAAACAAGGGGGTCCATCCCTAAAGATTTTTTCTCGCAGACCACTCTCACCTGACTTGCGACAGCACTTAGGTAGGGACGCAAGGGATCGCAATCCCGAAGGCACATATGGTCGCAAGGCCTGGACAAGCTTCCGGTGTCGATCAGGAGATCCCCGAAAACTCGTTGCTGAGGCCATGACGCAGCTGAGAGGCCATGAGGAAGAACAGAACGAAGACCGACCTGAGGACGTCGGGAGAGGCTCTCGTGTCTCGAATTAGTATGCCATGCTTCGACTGTCAATGTTGTAGTTTCGCAGGCCGTCGAAACACGAATCATGGCTGCAAGGACATAGCTTAGGCTCCACACATGGCCGCCGTTCCAGCGAGGCAAAGCCTGCAGAAGAAAGAGCTTGCGCTTTGAGGCTTCGGATCTCCTCCGACTTCTCCCTTCCCAGATGCCAAGCAAGGCTTTTCAGCACAGCTGGCACTGGGGCTCAAGCGAGTCGAAGGAACCGATCAAAGCCGTCAGGATATCGTGGTTGAGGAGCCTAGCTCGCGCAAGAACGTGCCAGCACGATGTGCCCAGCTGGTTATAGAAAGGTCTGTCCTGCACTCCTAGCAGGATGCAGTACAAGAAGATGGAGACATAGTAGACGCGTGGAGAGAAGGATGCATCACGCAACTGTCTGATGTGACATCCACAGACAGTGTCAGTAGACACAACGACAACAGCCAATGCAGGTCAACCTGTACCGAGCATGGTCCAGTGGCTGTAGATACGCTGACAAGCAAACAAACCGCATGGTTCACTGAAATATCCATAAAGAGCAGCTTAAAAGCATAAAAAATGAGCGCATAACGAAGGACCATCGACTGCAGTTGCATGCTACTGTTCTCAAGCTTTTTACCCCTGGCTGCACTATGCCGCACTCTTCAGGTGCGTCTCGCAGGTCCTGGACGTCCGCCATCAAAAACAAGCGTTACTATTGCCCGCCCATGCTGTCCAGGAGTGGAGATAGCGTGGTTTCGCGAAACTGAAGTCCGCCCCTGGATGCGAGAATCTGGAGGCCGCACGTCTGCAAATCTGCTTTGGCACCAGTGCCTGCCCAAAACCCACTGCATAAACCCAGCCATCGAGATGCAGGTATGCCAAGAAGTACGGCTATTGAGCTTTCTATCGGTCAAGACTCTTGCTAGTCACTTTTGGTGATGATGAGGTCATCTGCAGAGTATTACCCCAATCTATGCTAGTGCGGTTAGTATGAAGATATCTTTTGCTTGAGCGGATGTTCTTAGAGTCGAGCATGGAAGAAAGTAATTTGGAGGTGCATTCTGTTTTTTGACATGTTCTTAGAATTTGAGCTCTTGCTTTGCTGCTCTTTTATCAGCCGCTATCATCTGTCCAGTTTCGCCAAGTGGCAATGTGACGCGGTTCTTGCGCTTGGCAAAATATGCTCGTAGTACAATGTCATGTTTCGATTCCGGTCAATATAGGGTGTTGTGCCACCGTATCTTGAACCAACAATGTATACAGTTACGTGCAATCTGGTTGTCCTGCTTGGGGGCATGATTGTGTTTTGTCGTGTAATCCAGTCATGCAAGCAGTGCTTGTCCGCTGAAGTTCAGTGTGGTATAGTAAGACAAGGTTCACTCTGGTGTTTGTGTCGCTGAGTGCAAACGAACAAAGCTTGTGGTATAATAGTTGCACATTTCTCGGACATCGTAGGAACACTACTGCTTTCTGACATGCCGTCATACGTGCCTGTCAGTATGCATCTCTTTCGATGCATGTTGAACATACGGCCTCAGTTCACTAGCGCAGTGGCTTCCCACAGAACTGGCTTGGATCTGGTGTGGTCCTCAGGTTCGGTTAGAAGGTGCCTGACCCTGACATACATGCTGTGCAGCTTGTCCTTATGCGTACATGAGAGTATATGGCTATCTGCATATTACACCGATAACATGCCTTCCTTCGGTGACGATTGCTCCGTGCCCACCGTCCTGGGCAAGACAGAACCAGGAGATTCACGATGCACCGCTCAACTCACATTCTTACACTCCTTGTGCCGTTTACGTCCGGGGTGCTTTCGTCTCGACAGAATTGTTTACGCTCTCCGACAACTTGCCCCAGGTCCAAGGCTGTAGGTCAGCACCCATTGCCAGGCTATTCTGACCAAAAGCGTTGTTCGCTAAAAGGGTGGCTTCTTGGTGGGGCTCGAGAGCTCTGGCATTCCCTGGCTTCTCGAAGCTACGAGTCGTCAGTTTGCGAGGTGTTCAATCCCGTACGTGCCTAAGCTTCAACGTGGTTAGCGTGCAACGGGCCCGTAGAACTTCCGGATGGGACAGCCGGTGCGACTAGTGCTGTGCAAGAGTGACTTGATGCGAGCAACATATCATTCAGACGCCCCCTCGACTCTACTGGGTCCGTGGCGAAGGAAGGCGCTGCGCCTTGCGGAAAAGCGCCACCTCGGTGCATACGAAGGAGGCAAAAGCCACATGTTGCTGCGCCTGGCTACTGCGAAAACCCGAAGTAACCGCCCTGGACCCTTATCGCTAAGCTCGCTTGCCTGCCTGATCTGAACAGCGTGAGAGCGGGTTGGTGGTGGGCTCCGAGTTGCCGGCAGCCAGACCTCCACACATGCGTTGATCCTCGGTTCAGCAAGACTATCGTAGAGGCCTACCCTACAAGGACTTCCAGAGAGCACACTGGTGGGAGGCTCCGACGAATCACCCTGTCACTGCAACCCAGCATTGCAGAACGGCACAGACATACACATTATTCACCTGACCGCCACCCGCTGCACTAGAGCAGTCTTGCAGACTACAGCTCCTTCCTGACTGAAGCGGCTGAGAGCAAAGCCAGCTGCGTTGTTATAGAGTTGGTGATCTGCAGAAAGGATCAGTGGCCACTTCGAACACCGGACCGCGTCATCTCTGGAGCATGTTACAGACATCGCGCAGGTTGCCGTGACCCCCTGCACTTCTGCCACGAAGCTGGATCTCAGGTGCACGCCGAGAGAATGATGATCTGACTGATCGGATAGATCGTGAAAGCGAAGATTGCAATCTGATCAGGTGTGTCATTGCAGGATGTGGCGTCGGGAAAACATCTTACGAAGCCTACTGAATCGTGTCTTGGATTTAATTTCGTCTCAGCAGAAGCCATCACAGATGAAAAGCGTAAGCCGGTGGGAGGGCAGTGACCCTTCATTGTCATGTCGAAGGTCGAACTGAGTTCCCTGCAAGGAGCTGGTTCGTGAGGTTTCTTTCCTGCATGGCTTGCGCAGGCAGGGTGGACTTCAAGTCACCTGTTCTCCACCACAACCGCATATATGAAAGTTACGCATACATAGATGGAGAGTTAGACAAACAAAAAGATAGTTCGATTGATGGTTAAGTATAAAGATAGGTAGACAGGTGGACGGATAAGTGTGAATGCGTGCCAGTGAGTGTGTGTGTGCATGCGGGCGTGCTTGCTTTTGCCTCCCGCCTGGCTAGGACGAACCTACGATGCGTGTGTTGGTTGTTGTATTCGCCGTTAGATCCTGCCAAATACAACAATTTCTGAATGTACATGTGACATTTGCAATAAGTATTTCCAGACTACCTCGCGTGCATTGCCTCAGCTCAATACCTACATCGCTGTATGCAGCCCGGAACTTCACTAGCACAAGGCCGGTCAACGTCTGCGCGGCACTCCAGGAACCTACTTGCGTGATCGCACCTGAACAGGAACCTCCTTCACAAATTGCCGTAATGATTGTTTGCCTACAGTCATTCAATCTCATAGAGCAAACGGCTCAAGCTTTTCCACGTTTCATGTACGCCAATGGCGCACCACCGAAGGTTGAGTCACAGGCACCATGGCCTCGTGAGGGTGCGCCAACACCCAGGCCTCGCCGGCAAAAGGGAATATATGTGCGGGCTCATGCTGGCTGCCAACCCAAAATGCAGCAGTCAATCAGGCACACACACACACAAACACCCGAGGGTGTACGTTCGACACCTCTGGCATGGATAATGTATCATGTTTTTGAGTCCCTACGGCAGGCTCTGTCGACATAGCCTTACTTCCAGCCAGGAAGTCCACAAGCTGTGCCTTTCGTATCACCGAACAAACGAAAAATCTCAAGTATCTCCACTGTCGGACATTGTGCAACTGTGGGCTTCTTCTGATCGGTCCAAGCTGTCGATTTCCTCTCAGAGCTCGAGCACCAGGCCGGTGGAAAACAAACCGGTCCAGATCCGAATGAAACAAAAATTGAAACCTGAGACATTCACTCAAAAACATTCAAAAACTACCCCTCGAGAATTTGAAAATCAGACTGCTCCACATTGTCGGGCTTGCGAGCCAGTCGGGTTGTCTAGCCCGCAAAGATTAAGATAGCTTCCTCTTCCAAGTCAATCTTCCGATCGAAATGCGAATTATCTGGCGGAGCTGCAAAAAGCCGTCCAGTCTTGTGCTCGCAGCAGCAGCAGCAGCAACAGCAGCCTCCGACGCACCGTTCAAGCTCAGAGCTCCCTAAACACGTCAGTCACACTTTTGGCTCCCATTCGCGCCAGCTTTGATAGAAAGCAAAGGGCACTTTTCGGTGGATTCTGTGATACTGCCGTGACCTGTCAGTTTCTGAGCCTCACACTACACCGCATGCATGCAACACTGGCGGGACTTGCAGGACTTCAAAGCAGGCCACAGACTTTACGGCGTGCAGAGATGCATGCATCCAGTCCAAATAAGTTTCTCCATCCCACGCAAAAATTGCAAGGCTGACCTTGACGAGCATAGAGCTTGCAACGAGCAAAGAACACACTTTAAATTTTTGCGGCGCTATAGTCACTTGTCCCCGTTCCTCACGGATACCTGAGGCTGGATCCTGCGGAAACTTATACTTTCCGGCTACAATCAATGATTCCCTCTGGACCAGAACATCAAAGGCAAGACAACCGACAGCAACCATTTTTCGATTGTTCAGTAGTTACCCCAGTGGGGTGTGCTGTCGCTGGATTCCTGCCATGCCAGCGCAACACGATGGCCTTGATGCCCGAACCCTGCTGTCACGATCCCTGTTGCAAAGATTACGAGGAGGCAGCTTGGCCGAGAAAATCTATGTTTCTCCGCAGTTTGCCTTTTGCAGGGCTGCGCTTCCGTACAGGTACTAAAGCTGCGCAATGCGAAATTCCGCTGCCCAACTGTCCTTTCTTCATGCTGTGGCCGC